AAGGACGCTACTAGGGGCTCCTGGCCTTACTACTAGGAGCAAGGACGCTACGAACGTAACAAAGGGCATCGCTACTAGGAGAAAGGACGCTACGAACGTAGCTCCTGTCATTACTACTAGTAACAAGAAGCTATTGAGAACAAAGGGCATGTCATCTTTAGAAATCCAAATAGATGGATCTTTAGAAATCCATCTGCTCTCATACGCACGGCGTCCCGGGGAGGTTCGTCATATTTGCTTGTGCAGCTGGTGCCTGGGTGCCTGAATCTGCGGGAACACTTTTTCGGTTTCTTGATCACCCGACTTGGCCGTTACGTCCCAACCGTGGACTTCAACACTGGGACTCAGCATCAATTTCTGTAGATGCCAGCCTTGGATTATCCCTTGGAGTAGCATTTCCTAAGGTCTTGAATCAATCCTTCATTTCAAGGTAAACAAAAAACTCTGAAGTGCCTGCAGCATCATTTCTTTCTCCGAGATTCTGGAGGTTCCGAGGGTCACTTGTAAAGCAGCAATTTGTCATTCCAGCAGCAAGGTTCTCGGTGACGCTGATCCCTTCTCTAAAACATTCTAAGACAGGAGCCCCTAGTAGCGTCCTTGCTCCTAGTAGTAAGGCCAGGAGCCCCTAGTAGCGTTCTTGCTCCTAGTAGCGATGCCAGGAGCCCCTAGTAGCTTCTTGTTCCTAGTAGTAAGGCCACTACTGTATGCAGTGTGTGTGTTCCATGGGAAGTGCCTTGAAATAGATTTGCATACGTTGAGCTGATCGTCAACGTTGAGTTGATCATCTAATCCACCAGAAATCTCTTGGAAATGTAATTCCAGACATCTGTGATGGCACCTCGTTGTCTGTTGTCTGTTCTGGAACCGGTGCCGAAGACCGCGCAAAGTTGCTTTGTTAAAGTTGGAGGCCCCAAGGAACAGCAAAGCAACTTGCATCGTGCTGTTTATATCGAATGTACCTCAAAAAGCAAAATCAAGGGGGTGCACTTTGTTCATGCTGAATCTAATTGAAAAACAGTAATGAATCAGTGTTGGCAGGGGGCTTAAGGTCCTTGGTTTCGCTTTCTAGTACCAGGATGTACCAGGCGTGTTTGTAGCGTTGTTATTCCATTGGAAATTCCTTGGATAATATAGATCTGCGACGTCACTTACCCAAATCCCATTCGTCATTTGACTTAAAACATGCCAGCGGAATTTAAACCCAATGGAATAGAATTGCAGATCCTGCCAAAGATTTGCAATCTCAGCATGACCCCAGGAACAAAATTGCAGAACCTGTTGTAATTTGGTGTAATTTTGTCGAAATTAGACCCATTGATTTTGATGCTAGACCCCCTTTCCTTTATTGCCTTAACGTCGTCTCTCAGATAACAGGAAAACGAGAACACTGCCATCATCATCATCATCATCATCATCATCATCATCATCATCATCATCATCAATTGTACAGCTTTTTACAAAGTAAATTGATGATGAAGCACAAAATTATCCATTTAATTTCTATAGAAAAAGAAAACAACAATATTCACAACAATAAAATTATGAAATGGTGGTGGACGACTTTGCAAATTAAAGGATGGGAGAATGAAAAGCAAAAGGCGACCGAAGTGATCCCGTCGGTTGTATCATGAGGGCTCTTTCCATGGCCGATTGTGGGTGTTGCTGGGGTCTAGCCTTCATGACCAGCATGAGTACTTCCGGTGGCACCCGGTCCCAGACCTACGATTTTGTTGGGATCTTAGTGCAATATCTCAATATCTGTTGAACACATGTGGGGCCACCAAGCACAAATCAAGGTGACTCCACTACTCCTCTAAAAAAGCATACACTAGCAACTAGCAGGCTCAAGAATTCCAGCAAAGCCCCAAAACTCTTACACATCAAAAATCTTAGAAGATATGTTCAGCGCATATGTTGCACTGACAACAACAGTCGCTCAAGCTAAATCTGGCAGAGCACCATCAGCCGCATGGCCACGTCGTCTTTCAGGCGAAGCGTCCTGTCTCAACAAGTGGTCTTCAAAAGATGTGGAGGTGCATGATTCAGCCCAGTTGGTTAAGCAATTTAGTGGCATACAACAAGCAGCTGTCAACTCAACTTGGAAAATTGAGAGCAGGTGAGGCTTCAAAAAATGAATCAGCAGCTTCAACCAGCCTGAGAACCTTCATGCATCTCTACAACGTGCCTCAGAAAAAGGCGCCACATTCACTCCTAGCCACACCACCAAGTGTGAAAGGGGAAAGTGTCAGGGACTTGCAACCTAGGTACATTTGTGGAACATCGTCCGCGGTACTTGTTGAGCTTTGGGAGTCAGGTACCAAGGTTCGCATCGCCCTGGGACATCATGGTAAGAGCATCATTGAAGCAGTCTGACGAAAGCTAGACCAAATCACATTGGACCGTTGAGGCTGTTGGGGCTCCGGCATTTCTCCGAAGAATTGGCTCTTCTCGGGAGTCTCCTTGCTGAATTCTTTCTAGTCCGAAAATCCAAGCTTTGTGAACAATATTCACTTCTCAGAGTGACACCCGGGAAACCATGGGAGATTGTGGGCGCACAGGTTCCGGCGTATTAGGAGCTTGACCTCAAGGCGTCAAGTACTGCGGCTCAGAAAGCTAGGAAGGTAGAAAGCTATATAAGGGCTATATATAATGTTCTTTTTACCTTGATCTTTTTCTTTTTCTTTGCCTGTCTCTGACTAAAAAATGATCGAATGTCTCCAGTTTGTCTATGCTCTTCAATTGTGTCCCCTGCCGTCGTCACCTGATCCAGCCTGGGACAAAGGAACGAAGGAGTCCAAAATAGTGACTGTGTAGGCCACGGCTACTAGGAGCAAAGGGCATCGCTACTAAGAGCAAGAACGCTACTAGGGGCTCCTGGCATCGCTAGTGGGAGCAAGAAGCTAGTAGTAGCTCCTGGCCTTACTACTAGGAACAAGGACGCTACTAGGTGGAGTCCATCGCTCTTAGGTTGAAGGCCATTGCACCAAAGGGCATTTGCCACTGCATCGCTGTGCACATTGCCCTGAGCTCCCAACGTTACTTGGCCTTGAATTTAGCCCAGGCGATGTGGTCTCTCTAAAAGAAAGTGAAACGAAACTGAAGGAAAGCTGAAAACGGAAAAGCATGGAAGTGTCGTTGTCAAAAACAGAAAATGGAAGTCCACCTGATTGAAAGAAAAAAATCAATTTATATTAGGTGGAGGCAATCCCTCTTAGTTTGGAGGCCATCGCTATTGGGTTGGAGGCCATCGCTGATAGGTTGGACTAGTAGGTTGGACTAGGCCATTGCTAGCAGTAGCAGGTTGGACGCCATAGCTATTAGGTTGGATCACTAGGGCCATCGCTATTAGGTTGGAGGCCATCGCTATTAGGTTGGAGGCCA